CAACGTCAAGAAACGCATAGAACATCATAGAACTACGCACACAGGAACAAGCATTGTTGCAAAACACATAGAAGGAACCAAACGACCCCAGCCGCTTCCCTTCGTCACCACTTCCCTTCGTCACCACTTCCCATCGTCACCACTTCCCTTCGTCACCACTTCCCATCGTCACCACTTCCCTTCGTCACCACTTCCCATCGTCACCACTTCCCTTCGTCACCACTTCCCTTCGTCACCACTTCCCTTCGTCACCACTTCCCTTCGTCACCCTTCATGTACTCTCACACCACCCTTCATGTAAAGTCTCACACCACCCTTCCTCAAGGTCAAGTCTCAATGTGATGTATTGTTATGTCATGAAAAGTCTCACACCACCCTTCATCAAGGTCAAGTCTCAATGTGATGTATTGTTATGTCATGTAAAGTCTCACACCACCCTTCATCAAGGTCAAGTCTCAATGTGATGTATTGTTATGTCATGAAAAGTCTCACACCACCCTTCATCAAGGTCAAGTCTCAATGTGATGTATTGTTATGTCATGTAAAGTCTCACACCACCCTTCATCAAGGTCAAGTCTCAATCGCGCACCACCCTTCATCATTTCAAGTCTCAGAATTCTATTTGTCCGTAACACGGAAGTATTGCTTCCCAACTTCCTTTGACAAAGTTTGCACAAACACGTTCCAGTACTACTGTGCACTACACAGCTTGCACAAGCACGTTCCACTACTACTGTGTACTACAAAGCTTGCACAAACACGTTCCAGTACTACTGTGTACTACAAAGCTTGCACAAACACGTTCCAGTACTACTATGTACTACAAAGCTCGCACAAACACGTTCCAGTACTACTGTGTACTACAAGGCTTGCACAAAGTCGCTCCCAGTACTACTGTATACTACAAAGCTTGCACAAACACGTTCCAATACTACTGTGTACTGTGTACTACAAAGTTTGCACAAAGCACTTCCCAGTACTACTGTGTACTACAAAGCTTGCACACAGTCGCCCCAGTACTACCGTATACTACAAAGCCCGCACAAAGTCGCTCCAGTACTATACCGTATACTACAAAGCCTGCACAAACACGTTCCAATACTACCGTATACTACAAAACTCGCACAAACACGTTCCAGTGCTACCGTATACTTCAAAACTGGCACAAACACGTTCCAGTACGACAGTGTACTACAAAGCTTGCACAACGTCATTCGAGTACTACTGTGTACTACAAAGCTTGCACAAAGCACTTCCCAGTACTACCGTATACTGGAAAACTTGCACAAAGTCATTCCCAGTACTGCCGTTTTACAAAACTCGCACAAACACGTTCCAGTACTACCACGTAGCAAAAGACACGAGGTTTTGCAGCTTCCCCTAGAGACACGGCGACGTCTCCGCAGCAAAAGAGACGAGGTGTTGCAGCTTCCCCTGTGGACACGGCGACATCCACGTAGCAAAAGACACGAGGTTTTGCAGCTTCCCCTATAGACACGGCGACATCCACGTAACAAAGACACGAGGTTTTGGAGTTTCCCCTATAGACACGGCAACATCCACGTAGCAAAAGACACGAGGTTTTGCAGTTTCCTCTATAGACACGGCAACATCCACGTAGCAAAAGACATGAGGTTTTGAAGTTTCCCCTATAGACACTGCGACATCGACGCAGCAAAAGATACGAGGTTTCGCAGTTTCCCCTATAGACACTGCGACCTTGACGTAGCAAAAAACAAGAGGTTTTGGAGTTTCCCCTAGAGACACTGCGACATTGACGCGGCAAACGATACGAGGTTTTGGAGCTTCCCCTATAGACGCCGCGACATCGACGCAGCAAAAGATACGAGGTTTTGCAGCTTCCCCCAAAAGACATGGCGACGTCCACGTAGCAAAAAACACGAGGTTGTGCAGCTTCCCCGATAGACACTGCGACGTTTACGTAGCAAAAAACAAGAGGTTTTGCAGCTTCCCCTATAGACACGGCGACGTCCACGTAGCAAAAAACACGAGGTTTTGCAGCTTCCCCTATAGACACCGAATTAACGACGCGAAAAACGACGCGAAAGCGACGCGAAAAACGACGCGCCGACCAACTGGCGGCGAACAAAGTGGTCCAACCCCCAGACCCCCAACTATAAACGGGAACCCTTCGCTACGCATTCGGGAAGAAGGTTTGAGCAAAGACCGTTTAACGTGGGCTTGCGGTTTGTTGGATCTATGTTTTGTTTCTTTGAGTTTTGACCTTTGGTTCCTCTCTTGCAGCCAAGCTACGACATGCCTTGCTTCCTGACGCTGTATGAAGACGTTCGCCAATTGTGACTCACTGGGGTTATCTCAGATATTTGAAGACAGAGAATGGGGGCATACAAACACACATGTGAGAGAATAGTTTCAGTATTACCCCTGATACATTTATTAATCACACACCAAGGACTTAGACCATCATTCTTCATCTTTCATCATCCTCATTTTTCGTCATCATGGTTCCAAAAATCTTCTTTGTTAACTGTTCGGTTTTGAGTGCCGGGAGGGTGGGGGGGGTTCAGGTTTTTGCTGTCCTGCCTTCTTGTGGGTTTCTTAGGGTTGGCTTGCTCCTCTCCCGTGTCCCTTGTCTCGTCTTGCTGCTTGCCGGGGTTTCCTCCCTCTCGGTTTCGCTAGGGCCTCGTTTGCTGTCCTTTTCTGTCCTGTTGGTTGCTGCTTGGCGGAAGTTTCCTTGAGAGTTTTGAGTTTTGTGTCGTGTTTTGAATTCTCGCGTTGTTTTCCTTCGCGTGCGTTTCAGTCTGAGTGTGCGATTTTCGGTGCTCACTTTCGTTTCAAGGTTTGTGATCGGTACTCACACGCCATTGAAAATGGTTGCAGAACAGCGAAGGTTCCAATTCAGAGATGTCATTGACTTGCAGTATGATGTGCTAGTCCAGCGGAGCCATGTGTAACTCAGTGCCGTCACCTCCGCCATCTTCGTATCTTGTTGTCCCACCTGTTATTTCCTCCTGGTTTTCGTTCGGGCCACGCAGTGGTCTATATATTTTTTTTTGCTTCAGGTGCGCAAATTGAGAAGTGGTAACATTTTCACGAAAGGTCGATTTTAACTGAATGTTGGTTTTAATGCTGCTTCTGTACTACCCCAAGAAAATAAACCCTAAATAACTAGTTGAACATAACGACTCCCAAAGCAAAAGGTGAGTAAAAAACATTACTCGGGAATGAGTCATTAGAAATAAAATGACGTGCCTGAAACAAAGCAGACCAACCGTTGAAAAAAAAATGCATGATTTACACCTGCCATTAACCTTTTTTTTTTGGCTGGCCGCTGACGTCTCCCAGAAGTGGACGTAAGAGGTTTGTCCTGGCATGCAATTTTGACTTAACAGATGACGTAAGAAGTCGTGCAAATCATGGATATTTGATGATATTTGCAACATGTGTTTGTGTTGTATGTAGCTGCGCTCCAATGCTGTATGTTCCTAAGTACTGAATGTTCGCTTATCTCAGCCTTTGTTACTGTATCATATTTTACACCTCATTTGCAGGCCACTCTGTGGACAAGGGTTGCGCTGCCGACAGGTCAATAAATGCGTTGTGCTTGGTAAATGCAATTGGAAGAGGGTTAGTGCTTTGTAATTGTTTCTCACGTAAGTATTGTACGTGCGTACATATATCTGTATGTGTAAATTCACAAGATACACACACAATCATAACACGCACATTTGGATATGTGCAATGCGCGTAGTTTTTCATGATTTGTGTGCAAAGGATTCTGATCGTTGGAATCCGGAAAAGTTGATGTCATGTATGATTAAAGGGGGGAGCGGGGCGCTGGTGGTAAAGTTGGAAACAACTTTGCAGACCCGTACCCGCAGCACTTATGTTGCTATGACCTTTCTTGGGAACGCCGTGTTTCTATAAGATTTTATGTGTTTCTCACGTTTGCAGATCGCTGGCTCCAATGCGAGACGTCAAGTGGCAACCAATAAGAGCGGAATCATGGCAAATCATGAACGGATGCACCACAATAACCATACAACACATCCAACGACACACAGTTTTACCACAAAACAGGTTTGTTTGAACTTGTGCAGCGGCTTTGGTTGTGGATTTCAGTCACGGTGTGTTTTTGCTGAACGTGCTAACGCCATGCCGCCCGGCAACCTGAAGTGCACAGTGGGAACCTTAGATTCTTGCAAAAAAGGCGGTGGCAACTTCGAGGCGCACTGTTGTGCACACCAATCCTGCCAGCATGTTTGAACACAGGGGTGCCCCATGGTGCCCCAACCATGTCAATACCCAGGGTTGGCCAATCTAACCAAAGGTTTGTGACCTATCCAAATGGGATTTTAGAAACTGCATTGAGTTCTCCGAGAACAGCATTGAATTCTTTGGGAACTATATTTGGATTTGGGACAAGTAGTATTTGTGACTATGACTGAGACTTAACTCGTGCATCGGAATGTGCACATGATATGTGCATGATACTTGGGAATGCTTTCCTACATCTGACGAAGGCATACCGCCAAATGGGTAGATACATGTTCCTGGTTTCTGAACTTCTGAATGGCCGAGCATGCGCGGTTGTACACTCTATCATATCATCCTAAAAATGATAGATATTCAGCATTAGAATTAAATTTTCCGTGTTGTTCGTTGCCAACTCTTGCAATTATCAGACCCCAGGAGCGGTCACGACGGTTGTGTGAAATGGAGCTGTCAACCACGGATGTCATGACTGATTTGCCATGGAGGTCAAACACACCATCATACATGTGACATGATCCCAGCTGCATTCCAATCCATCTCGCCATGCCTTGCATGGCTCAAGCATGCAGCACAGCAGCAACAAGGTGCAAAACGGTTGGTTTGCTTTCGGGTGGCCAGTTGCTTTGGGGCTGTCAGTTTTACACTGGCAGCGGAGCATTGGCTCCAGGTTTACCTTTGGTTGGTTTTGTGGCAGCCCCTTGGGAAACCCTACTTCATATTTTCGCCACTTGCCAGTGCGAGCCATGTCAGCGCTGGATGCCCTTCGATGGCAGAACTTTGTGGACCCTTCCAATGAGCTTGTGTCCACTGAGGGGAAACAAGGAGTGCCGAGGTATGGTGGTGAGCCTTCTGTTCTCCTAGAATACACGTATCGTGTGCGGCTTCGTGAAGCTCGTGAACAAACCATGGATTCCTCGGAGTTAAAGAAACTTGGCCCACTAGGCTTGCGCCTGGTGGATGGTTTGAGTGGCACTGCATTGCAGATCGTCAGAGGCATTCCTGTAGAAGACCTTGCCAAGTCAGATGGACCTTCCACCATCATCAAGCACCTTCAGAAGATTTTGAAGCCGCGGCGACAGCAGGAGTGTCGGGAACTCTACAACGCCGGGGCCCGATCTCATGGAATTCTAAGCCGTCAGTATGGAGAACCAATGGCTTCATTCATACTTCGACGTAAGACTTGGTACTCAATGCTCTTGGACTTGGATGAGAAGATGAAGCTTCCTGATGGGATTTTGTCTGAGCAGATACTGATGACGGCAGGTGTGACTGAGGACCACAAACTTCTCATTCGCACCGCAATCCAAGGAGATGTCACAGTTGACAAAGTTTGCAATGAGCTGGTTGCACAACATGCTCGGATTCATGAAGATGAACTTCGACGTCGTGCAGATCGGTTCAAAGGCTCTCCAGGAAAAGGACGAGGTCGCTTTTCCCCACGGCGTCCTACTTGGAATGCAAACTATGTTGATGCAGATGATGATCACAATGATGGATCAGAGCATGGGTCACAGTCTCTTGGTGGTTATGATGATCTTGCGTCTTCTACTGCCTACAACACTGTTGAGGGCGATGTTGATGAAGATGACGACGTTGTCTCCACTGTCTATGAGGCGATGATGGCTGATGGCTTTGATGATACGAATGAAGAGGCCTTGGAATATGCCACGGACATCTTGCAGATCGAAGCTGAAGCTCATTTGGCACATCAACGTGCCAAAGGAAGTGGTCATTATGGCTTTGGTCGAGACAAGAAGAACTTCGGCTACAAGGGCTATGGAAAGATGTCTGATGAAGAGAAGAAGGCCAAGATTGCAGAGCTGAAACGCAAGAGCAGTTGTCGTGCCTGTGGTCAAATTGGTCACTGGAGCACGGATCCCGTCTGTCCGAAAGGCGGTGGAAAGAAAGGCAAGAAAGGTGGCAAGTCAGATTTTCGCAGCTCTTCGGCTTCAACCATGCATGGCAAGGGCAAGGGATGTCCTGGCCCTGTGAAGCAGCGCACGGTCTACTTCACGGTGAATGAGTATCACAATGAGGATGAAGACATGCATGGCACTAAGGTCGTTTCTGAAGAGAATGCAGTTTTTGCAGACGAGAAGGTTTTTGAGTCGAAGGCCTACATGTTCAATGCAGTCCCTCCTCCGTCGTCCTTGCAGCATGGTGAGATTGTCATGACTGCGGAAGAGATGCTGGATCAAGCTCTTCGCCAAGCCCAGCAAGGACATCCCAGGCAAGTTCCACCGTTGCCTCTTGGATCTGGTCATGTTGTTGCCCACAGCAACATTCCTGTGGATATCAGTGGTGAAGACGGAGATCAAGAATTTGATGTTGTTAGCGATTTGGGTTCTCATTTGGGGGCACATGCCATCGTACCTTTGAGCTCTACTATTACCACTGCGCATCATGGGAATCCTGTGTCATCCACGTCAAGTGTTGACCAAGACTTTCCTCATGATGTTCCACCAGGTGCAGCAGCATGTCCGCATCTGAATGTGACACGCAGGGGTAGCAATGCATATCTGAGACTTACGACATGCAAAGACTGCGGCTTCGTCATGGAACGAGTCAAGGTGTTGGAGCGCAAGAAGATGAACACCCTGGAGCCATTCAGAATGTCCTCACAACTCAAAGGACTTTCGTGGCACTACGGGCACAACATGGCGATGGAGATGTCGAGATTGCGGGCATCAAGAGTCGGGTCACAAGAATGCAGGTGAGACGGGCAGGGCAGCGTCGACTCCTTCATCGTTGCCGACCCCATCTATGGCACCATCACCACAGGACCCTGTTGATCAAGTCATGTCCATGATGCTCTTGACCATTGACATCTACCAGAACATGGGCGCTCAGGTAACTCCAGAGCAACTTGATGTGATCTATGCCAAGTGTCGTGTTGCAGTGTTTGGAAGTCCCCCTACGGTGGCAAGTTCATCCTTGGCAAGCATCGCTCAGGTAGTTTGAAGAACCAATCACTCATTGAATTTGCCAGGTACCTCAACGTTCTGGCATCAAGTTCCTCCACGGCATTCATGGCAGGGTCTTTTGCTGCGGAGTTCTCAGAAGACAACATGGTTGCGATCATAGACACAGGCTGCAACTCCACATGACATGGAGAGAAATGGCTCAACAAGAACATGACCATGACTGGCCTGAGCATTCCACTTGAAGCTCATCATGGCTCCTTTCGTGGAGTTGGAGGTCATGTTCGAGTGGCGGGCAAACGAAAGATCCCCGTGTTCTTCAAGCTTTTGAATGGCGACTTTGCCAATGGTGTAATCGACTCAATTGAGATCGCTGACGGTGAAGCTCCTTTGCTTTTGAGCACACGTGCACAACGAGCCCTGGGTCTGGTCTTGGACTTTAGTCGCAACAAGTTCTTCAGCCATGTTTTTGATGATGACCTTGAGGTGGTGGATCGAGATGGACTTCCTGGAATTCGATCTCACCCAGGCGATCACCACTCGAAGAACTTGGCTCTGATGTCGCAACATGGGCAAGCGATGGGTTTCGAAACGATGGACTTCGATTACCCTGGTTCCGACTTAGATTTGCTCGGACCAGGGGGCCCAGCGACTCAGGCAAATGACCCAGATGATTCTGAGGACGAACCTTTGGATTTGAGGGACGTTCCCAACAGTCGGCTCGATTTGACTCAGTGCACTGTGAAGACCATGACCAAGGGCACCAAGAAACAACTGAGCAACAACATGGAAGACATTGAGAAGGAGGATCATGCAATGTGGTGTTCGCTTCGCAATGACCAGAAACCCTACCACAAGATCAAGAAGATGTTGCCACGTGGATGTAAATCCTTTGTCCTTGAGATCTTTGCAGGCATGGCCACTTTGACTATGATGGCAGCTTCGTTGGGCCTGCCAGTTTCAGCACCAGTGGATCTTGAAGTTGGAGGTGAAGCTCACAATGTGCTGAATGCCAAGCGCCGCAAAGAGATCTCGGCATATGTGGAATCAGAAGATCCCTTCCTCCTCACGTTTTCTCCTGTTTGCACTTTTGGGAGTCCTTGGCAGAACATCAACATGCTTGATCCACAACAATATGAACGAATCATGCAGTCGAGGAAGATTTGGTATCCCGTGATCAAATGGATTTGTGAACTTGTGATTTCTCGGTTGAAGGCAGGCCGAGAAGTTTTGTTTGAACAACCGTGGCCCTCCGGCATGTGGAATCTCAAGTGCCTCGAGGATCTGATTGCCATGGGGATTCAGAATGACATCACGGGTGAGCCTCTTGAACGAATTCGACTGGATCAATGCATGTATGGTCTGGTTGATCGAGATAGCCTTCTACCACATCAAAAGCCTACTGGTCTTCTTCTTTCTTCATATCACATGAAGCAGCGCCTTGGTGATCTTTGCGATCACAACCATGAACATCAAAGACTTGAGGCTGGTCAAAAAACGAAGAGAGCACAAGTGCTCATTGGCGCCTATGAAGAGATGCTTTCCAATGTGGTTCAGACAGCTTTTGCTCCTGAGCATGATGCAGAAGTTCGAGAAGAAACTGGACCTTTTGATGGCGTCTATGATGAGAATGACTTTGCAGAGCCCATGCTGAAGAGAAGGCGCATTGATTTCAATGAACTGACCAGAGAAGAAGATCTTGAAGAACTTCCTACTCTGGGAGAAGACTTGGCTATGGAAGAAGAGAGAGACCGCAAGGCAAAGTGGTTGAAGCTGCCGAAAGAGAAGCGTGTAGCACTGCGTCGTCTTCACCACATGACTGGACATTGCAGTGTTGCTTCTATGGTTCGTATGTTGAAAGCCTCTGCCGCAGACAAAGATGTTCTTGAAGCTGTGAAGCATTTCTCTTGTCAAGTTTGCAAAGAGACAACCAAAGAAGACAAACCAGCCATTTCGAGACCTCCAAAGCCTAGCTTCCAGCAGACTTTCAACTATGAGCTGGCAGCAGATGTCTTTGAGATCAAGGACTCGGAAGGACACCGACATGGAGTTCTTTCATTGGCCGATATGGCAACTCATTTTCATGTTGCGGTGCGGGTTTGTGGGGGTGGAACTCCGTCCTCCAAATCGTGCGCTGATGCTTTGAATTTGGCTTGGTTTTCATGGGCTGGAGCGCCACAGTTCTTTGTCTGCGATCAAGGAGTTCACAACAAAGGCAAGGTGTCTGCGTTTCTTAGAGCGCATGGAGTGGAAATTCGACAAGCAGGAGCAAGAGCCCCTTTTCAGATTGGCACTGCGGAACGTCAAGGTGGTCTTTTGAAAGAAATCCTTCGAAAAGCAGTTCATGACCACCAGATCCATGGAGCAGATGCCATTGCAGCCCTTATCACGGAATGTGCGAAGGTCAAGAACCATCTTCTCAATGTTGGTGGATACTCTCCTTCACAATGGGTCATGGGCTTTCAGCCTGCTGACAACACCAGCTTGATGGATGGCGATTTGATGAGAACATTGGCGTTCACCAGAACTTGATCGACGTTGAATCTGGCGAGTCAAGTCATCAAGACCGCTTCATGCTTCAGATGCTCATGAGACATATGCAAAAGAAGCCTATGTGAAGACTGACTCTTCACAAAGGATTCGACGAGCTATGCTGAGGAAGAGCACTCCTATGCGGGGTCCTTACAAACCAGGTGATTTAGTCTCTTTCATCAAGAAGGGCAAGTGGTATGGACCATGCAGAGTGATCAGCAATGAAGGTCGTTCATCCTTGTGGCTTTTGCATTCTGGAGTTTGCGTTTTGGTGGCAGAATCGGCTTGCCGACCTGCGACGTCACAAGAAGTTCTCAAGAAACAAGTCCTGGAACTTAGACTTAAACCATCCAGGAAGAGGAAAAGGGAACTGTTTGGTGAAGTTGAAGATGATGAAGACATGATCCCTTTTCAAGATGATCTTACTGAAGCAAAACGAATCCGTGAATCAGGTCAAGCTCCCTATGTCGACCTCCACATGGACACTTTAGAGTTCCCAGGTGTGCCAGGAGTGGCTGTTAGCCCTGGAGATGGAGCAATGGAGCCAACTGTGGAAGCCACAGTACCAGCACAACTGCTTCCTACATCTGATGTTGAGTACAGCCCCACTGAGTTGGCCGAAACGCCAGAAGGCTATGACCCAAACCTTGAGTATGATTTCGGCAATCCACCTGGCTTGGAACCTGGTGATCTTGGTGGCTTACATCAACCTGTTCCGCCGAGCACTCCTTCGAGCACGCTTGGCAGTTTGAACAGCCAACCGGAACGGGAGGCTACTCCGGAACTAAGAGCCCCACAGCCAACCAATGCGACTCCGGAATCATCAACTATGACTCCTTTGACACAAGCTTTGAGGCGTGATCTTGGAGCTTTGGATGGCTTGCCTGCTAGACGTCAGGCGCAATTTTCCGAAGAGATGGATGAAACACCCTGGCAATGTTTTGTGTTGTCAAGGCAGGTCAAGAAGTACAAGAACCAGAAGCGCAATCAGAAAGTTGGAGCCGGCCGTGAGTTGGTCTTTTCCAAGGAGACTCCTGAGGTCAGACTGGGCCTCATTGAAACACGCAAGAAAGAATGGAGCAACTGGATGAAGTATGCCAACGGCAAGCTCATTGATGACCAGATGCTCAAGAAACTCAGAGAAGATCAGCCATGGCTACGAGTGATCCCAACTCGTTGGGTCGATGTTGACAAGGCTGAAGTTGGACAAACTATGAGATTGAAATCAAGATTAGTGGTTCGTGGCGATCTGGAAGATGCGACCAACATGCGCACAGATCCACCTACCAGTTCGCAGACCATGATGACTTTGGAGACCATGATGACTTTGGTTTTGATTTTGTCCGCATGCAGGGACACCATTCTTTGGGCTGGAGGCATTTCTGCCGCATTTCTTCAAGGAGCCAAAATGGATCGCATTTTGATTCTTTCCTTACCAAAAGATGGTGCTCCTGAACCAGAGTGTGAGGGCAAGTATTACATGGTCAGCACCACAGTCTATGGCACCAAAGATGCACCCCGTGGATGGTTCAAAGTGTTGGATGAAGAAGTCAAAGCAGAATGTATGAAACCGATTCCTTTTGAGCCGGCATCCTACAGTCTTCAGGATGACGATGGCAACCTTTCTGGACTTCTCATTGCACATGTTGATGATCTCATGTGGACAGGTGGTGCTCACATGGAGCGTGTCATGGAAAAGATCTGTCAGCGTTTCAACTTTGGCAAGTTGGAGAAGGACAACTTCAGATACTGCGGCCGAGACGTCAGCCGCGAGAAGGATGGCATCCGAGTCACTTGCGACTCTTTGATTGACCGAGTTCGTCCAATTTATCTTGACATTGGCAAGAAGAAGAGCCCCCATGCGCATGTCACAGAAAAAGTTCGAGGACAACTTCGAAGTGTCGTGGGTTCTCTGGCTTGGCTTGCTCGTGTTTGCCGTCCTGATTTGAGTTTTGGAGTTTGTCATCTGCAATCGTGCGTTCACGACGCTACTTATGCGGAGATCAAGTTTGCCAATAGCTTGGTTGCACTTGCAAAGAGACAAAAGGGCATGGTTTGTTTTATCTCAAAAACATGTGTCGTTTTGAAGATCTGATGATTGTTGCTATTCAAGATGCATCACATGCCAATGCTTTTGACCAAAGTGCTTCGGGAACTAGAATGGGTTACCGTAGCCAAAGTGGTCGTGTTTTGTGCCTCACCAACAAGTCTTTCAAGAACAACAAGAAGGGCATTCTCCTTCCTGTTGAGTGGCATTCAACGGTGATCAAGAGGGTGAGCCGCTCTACTCTGCAATCTGAAACTTTGAGCTTGGTTCTTGGATCAGAAGAAGCAGATCATTTGCGCTATGTCATGCATGGTTTGACCAACAAGCTGTATAAGGAGCCAGATTTCATTGCTGCCCTGGATTCCATCGATGTGATGTGGGTGACAGATTGTTTCTCGCTCTTTGAACACATCATGCGGGATTGCAAAACGTTTCGGACAAACGTCTGGCCATTGATCTTTGCAGTTTGAGGCAGTTGGCGTGGCGCAAGTGTGGTGAGCTGATTGGAGATCCTCTTTTGACTGACAAGATTCCCAGTGACGCAACGACCACCGTAGTTTGGACCAGTACAGATCGCATGGTAGCAGATGCACTTACGAAACATATGAAGCCAGGCATGTTGGGTGAAGTCATGAAAGGTGTGATGGTGGATTGACCCCAACAAAGTATAATGGGTGTGAAATGGAGCTGTCAACCACGGATGTCATGACTGATTTGCCATGGAGGTCAAACACACCATCATACATGTGACATGATCCCAGCTGCATTCCAATCCATCTCGCCATGCCTTGCATGGCTCAAGCATGCAGCACAGCAGCAACAAGGTGCAAAACGGTTGGTTTGCTTTCGGGTGGCCAGTTGCTTTGGGGCTGTCAGTTTTACAGTTGCTATGGTTTCTACGGTTCCATGTTTTGGGCATCGGAGGGGTATGGTTGAAATGTGGCTTTACAGGGCCAGAAACTGAGCCGGAAGAGTTTTGAAGAGATCCAGGGATACAGAAGCCGTTCGGGCATGGAAAACCCGATTTGGAATCAGATTTTTGATATCGAGGGGCACGTTGATTTAATTCACGAGGCCCTCCTTCCCTGTGCTGTTTTCTCCGGGTGGCCCCCAGAGCTACACCAAGAACATCGATGATGCATGTTTGCCATCACTGGCAGGAACCAACTTGTAGGTTTGTTCATGTTGTTGATGATTTCCATCCCATCCATATTCTTAAAGGAATTTTGGGTAGGTTGTTGTGGGCTATGGTATTTTTGTTTTACCATTGAACTACGGTAATTGGTATATTGTGTAGCCGCGCCAGTGCATATACCAAAACAAATTGTAAAGCACCTTGTGTACACAAAATATACCACCTGTAGTTTTTAGCGGATAATTTGAAAGTAATAATATGTCAGCAACTACTATGCTGGTGGGAGGAACGCCAACCTCTCATTGCTCTCTGGCTTTCCATCTTTCAACCACTCAGAGACCATGATCGTGTTCTCCACCGCCATGCCGCTCAAAGCCAATGAATTGACCTTCATGGGCAAGACATCCACGTGCCCAATCATATTTGCCTTGTCGGTGGGTCTCTGATCGGTGATGCTGCCAACAAATTCACGATGCTGAGCCCAGCATTGACATAAACATGTTTGTACCGGTTGAGCTCACCATTAGCCACTTCAAGGATCCCATGTGCGTGGCTGGGAGGGTGCTCACTGGGCCAATCAGATTGATCGTGTACTCACTCCGCTCCTTGCGTTGCAGAAGTAGCTTCCGAAATGCACAAGCCACGATTTTCAAATCGCGTTGATGGATTGTACAGTGCCCAGCTCCGAAAAAGGCAATTGGTGTCACCACAGCATGGAAAAATCGCAAGCAAGAGGAGAAGATATGAAAATGTGAAGATGTGTGGATGAGAAGATGTGAAGAAGAGGGCAAGAGGGCAAGAGGGCAAGAGGGCGAGAGGGCAAGAGGGCAAGAGGGCAAGAGGGCAAGAGGAGAATATGTGAAGATGTGAGGATGTGAAGATGTGAAGATGTGAGGATGAGAAAATGTGAAGATGAGAAGATGTGAAGATGTGAAGATGTGAGGATGAGAAGATGTGAGGATGAGCAGATGTGAAGATGAGAAGATGAGAAGATGTGAAGATGTGAAGATGTGAAGATATGAGGATGAGAAGATGAGAAGATGTGAAGATGAGCAGATGTGAAAATGTGAAAATGTGAAGATGAGCAGATGTGAAGATGAGAACATGTGAAGATGAGCAGATGTGAAGATGTGAAGATGTGAAGATGTGAAGATGAGAAGATGTGAAGATGTGAAGATGTGAAGATGAGAAGATGTGAAGATGAGAAGATGAGATGCAGACCCCCACTATTGGAAGAACCCTGTGCTCAGACGCCCTCGGGAAAAACAGTCCTCGCACGGACCTCATGCAGCAAAAAGGTGCGAGGACAAACACATTAATTAGGCCAAAAAACCGAAAACATCTAGTTTTGCGGGAAAGGTCGCGACGGTTCCTACAGTATATTTTTTTAAAAGCTTCCATGAACGGTTCCGAACGGTCGGTTCCAACATGTTGGTTTATAGTTCCAGTATTTTCCTAGATAATTCGTATATTTTCCCAGCTCTTAAATAATTATCGAGGGTGGCCACGTACAAATAGGCCATCACTGGTTATAATGTATGAAATATTATCAGGCTATTGTATGTGATTTTGGTGAACTTAGGGCCAACAATGAGTCAACAATGAGGTTTCGAGATGAATCCACGAAGTCATCCGAGGTATGCTTGCTCCTCGCCACAATAATTCCATTCGTTTTCGGTGGTGATGAAGTGGCATCTACATCGACTACTATGCAGGCAGGTGGGCCAACCATGGAAACTGAGGCGTGAACAAAAATTGGCATGAACCCAATATGATTTGATACAGTGTATGGACGCAACCTTTATTCATACTTGCATTCATTCCTTTATGTAACTGCATCAATCTGCAGGTAAGCGCCATACCACACAAAATTGCTGAATTTGCGTTTTCTCATGTGGTTTGATCACCGTTTTGGTTTCCGGAAGGAACGCGCCGTCCCAACATGAGGAAAACAACCCTGCTGAAATGGGAATCCCATGACCCGGCGCAGGCCCTTGCAGCCAACAGTACTCAAGAAACGTTGGAGGTCGGTTTGGGTTTTTTCGTCAAAAGGGGGATCCCCAAAACATCCCAAAACCATAGGTTTCAACATTGAAATGGTTTGATTTTGGATGATTTGGGGGTAGGCAAAATTTACGAAAACCTTGATTTTTTTAAAAAGGAAACCCCTAAGTCTACAAAAACAGAGTTGCAAACATCGTTTTTTTTTTTTATCGGAACAGAATCCACCCCTGTGAAAAAACGAGTGTGAGCAGATCTACGGAATATGTTTCCATATTTTTCCGGTGTTATTTTTTGATGGTGATTGAATGCTTCTCATTTTTTTTCTCCGATTCCCTACGGACTTACCAATGCCAAATACCCAGCAGGAACCTGTCCCGAAGAGCGCAGTGGACGAAGAGTTGGAGGACCTTTCCACAAAAAAAACAGTTGGTGAAGGGCATTCACTCTTGGCATATATTTGGTGATTTTCGTTCGACTTCTACAGTGAAATTGGATAATCTTGGTTCAGATCATCATAAAATTGTTTATTTATATCTAACATGTTGGACGTTGCGTGTGATTTGCACAGCATTAAAGCAACGATTTCTTCTTTATTAATATGAACCTTGCCAAATATGTAGGGGGATGTCCACCTGAGATGATATGTTAGTTGTGGGATGTGCACATTTACGCATTGCATCATCGACATTGTACATCAACATCGACACATTCGTGTATAAATATACCAGTGATGCAAAAAAAAACACGCAAAAAACACGCAAATAGATGTAGAGAACGCATTTAATGTTGATCAACAAACACGTAAACATATAGTCGGCAAATAGATAGATAACATTGAAAACATTTTTTTCAGAGTTGTAAATGCATGTCAATCAGACAGGCCAACAAGGACATATTCAATATCATAAAGGAAATCCATCACACATGAAATAAAAATAATGTTGCAAACCTGATGCCATAAACTATCTCTGATATCACCATCAGTGTGGTACAAACCATGCCCAAATGATAGGTTTATGGCAGGGTTTCCCAAGCGACTGGGACCAGGTCGTCCCAGTACCAGATAGCAACAGCTCCAACTCCATGCTGGGCCTCGTAGCTGCCGCTGTGGCCCCTTGGCGACATGCGGTGACGTCATGGGGGGGCCCCCGCAACTTCCGAAAACTGAGATTTTGTGGGATTCTAGGACCTACCCTCTGGTAATTTAACAGTTTGCTATTGAACATGGCCCATTGATAATTGATTTTCCCATTAAAAATGGTGATTTTCCAGTTCGCTATGTTCGTTTACCAGAGGGTAGACACCGAGTAATGGCCAATGCATGGTTGCGTTTTTTTTCCCAGATGAAAGTGGGACAGGGCGCAGTTCGGTGAGGATTCGTGTAGTAACCGCGATGCACTGAGCAACTCTATATTGGAGAGCTGGAAGGATGATTTGTTGGGGGCCAAATGCCTGACATGAAGGGACCTGCCGGATTTGCACCCTAGGCATAGGGCCGGGAACCTTCCTGTATTACCCTCACGTAGTTTGCCCCTAATTACTAGTAACCAGTCCAAACCAAAATGAAGTACCTGTGACTGAAACACTGTTTGCACATGAAAAAGAATAGAAAACATGGGGTCAATCCGATGGGCAAAGATTAATGATGGTATACCAATCCAGGACCACACATGGACTATTTAGCACCAAGTACTTGAGTGACCAGACTGGTTGGAGAAATTTGGATGGCCACTGGGTCCTACAAACAACCAATTTTGCTTGGGGAACCCTCAGTTCGCTACGAACATTTCCCGTAAGTTTGAGGGTGCCCCCCCTCAAAACATCTCAAAACTACCTTTGCCAGGAGTTATTTATTTGCATGTAAATAAATAAATATATATATATATATATATATTTATGTAATGCATACACACACACATGTATATATATATATATCAATGATACATACATACATACATACATACATACATACATACATACATACATACATACATACATACATACATACATACATACATACATACATACATACATACATACATACATACATACATACATACATACATACATACATACATACATACATACATACATACATACATACATACATACATACATACATACATACATACATACATACATACATATATATATATATACACATATAACTGCATCTATCCGATTATATACCCATTATATCCCCATTATATCACCATTTTGCCCCCAGTATACCCACATAGGGCATCAGGGTTGTGTGGCAGCGTGACCGAGGGGGCGGTTTGTTTGGTAATTGTGGCTTGGCAGTGCTTCAAGTGGCCGGGGTTCCAAGCGACAGTGACGGTGCCGCTGATGGCGGCCATAATTTGAGAAAAGTAACCAGAATTGACCCAAATGTGCTCGAAATGAAGATTTGAACGGATTTCATCAGAGAACATCAGAACTTCAACCACTTCTTTTGGTTGGCCGGTTGGCCTTTACTGTCACCCACCTCCACAGAACCAATATGAACCAATGACGTCGGGTTTTGCCTGGCCCAGGTTGACGAGTCCCAAAAAGACGCCTGCACCGCTCCTGGCTGACACCGAGCTGGGGGAAGGGGACCGGAGCCAAGCGGCATGGTGGAGGTGGTTGGGAACTTGGTTGAGCACCATGAGAACTATATATTTTATGGGACAACCTATGAGTTCTAGTTCAAATCAATGTTGATATACAATGTGTATATGTATATATAGATCGTTAATGATAATTTGTCCTTTTATGTTTGTTGTGGTTCTAGGAGATATTGGAACGATTCACGACATCTTGAAACTAATGATTTTCTCATCTGCTGACTGGTCGCAGGACCCAGTGCATGGAGGTGATGGGCCACAAAATGCCCTGTGGCCTGGGACCCCTGCGTACCCATGGGAAGCCGCAAATTTGGATGATTGTTTCGGTTATTATCATTTTTTATATATTTTTTCCAATTATATGTATATATATATATTATATATATGTATATATAGATGGCAATTTCATGGGTATACGGCATACCCCATTTGGATCACTTGAGCAGTGGCTGCTAGACCCCGCTTGAATGATGAATTATGTGCAGGGATTTTTCTAACCAGTAGAATCCAGTAATTTGGGGAATGATCAAAATCCATGAATTAGGGGAATCCTGGTCTCAACCAGCCAATATCTTAGCATCAGCCCATGAAATTCCATTCATTAAATCCTAGTAGATCCCATTATGTCCTAGTACATCCCAGTTAAATATCGTTTTGTAATGTTTTGTACATCTTATCCCATGAAATTCCCATTAACTCAGCATTTTTGTTGGTTACTCCCAAGGAAAGCAAGGGACTTCCCCATCCCCGGGCCCACGGCCCACCGTTCCGCTGGGCTGAGGATGGGTGGCAGCGGCCCCGCACGGGAGTTGATGCCAGCCACGTCCGCGGGCTTCACTCAGCCGGGGCGCCCTGGAGGTTGCGGGGTGAACAGCCTGGGGGGGTAAATTAGTGCAGGGTTGACATTACTGGACATTCATCTGGGTAAATTATAACGAGCTCACTGCGAGCTCACTGGGAATCATGGTTAGTAAGGGAAATCATCCCAATATTATAATTTACCCAGAATTCATTCTTGGGCCCTTTGCAAAATTTAAATTTAATTGTTTGGGGTACTTAAGAGCAGGGGCATGGGACAATGGGAGTATTTGGTGAATAGCTATGACTACAAGATCTGATGTTGGTTACTATGCATGCTATCTTGAGTTATGTTTTAGATGGGATACCCCAGTTAGTTGTGGGTTTTGATTCTCCCTCCCCTGGTCAGAAGATGGGATTTGAAGCACCCAAGAATGGAGCTGTGTACCCTGTAAGTTTCTTGTGTATGTTTTCAACATGTTCCTAACCATATTGTTTCTAGGGGGTTGGCTAAGAAATGAAGGTGCGTATCACCAAGACAATGGATCTATAAACGAGTGAAACTGCTCGGTGGTTTCGACACAGTTTTATTTTTGCCATGCATTTGGGATGATAATCCCTGGTTGATTTTCATCATAACCGATGCCTATGTGCGCTCGTGCGTGTATGTGTGTGCGCACGTAACCAGTAATACAAAAGTATGTGTAAACATTCATATATAGATGATATAGTTTATGTGTAAACTATTAATATCAACATATATATTTTAAACATTCATGATATGTTTCATCATATAACTCATATAGTACATAAACAGTGATTTCCCAGATTTCACCACTCACTAGGGTGGAATTTTGGCCGAGCTTAGGTTCTGAGACTGCCACAAGCGGTGCGCTTTTGCTTCCTTTTTTTGGGGCTTTGGAGAAAGGAGAAGGAGCAGATGGGCCAGCCGGTCCCCCCTGGATGAACTGGATGAACTCCGATCGGCAAATCTTGAAAATCGGCCCTAAATCCACTGATTTATCATGTTTTTCCCGGATTTTCACCACTGGTATCAAAACGAACATATGTTGGAAAAAAAAGGGGGTAGCCCATTTTTCAAAGAAACCCACAGTATTGGTGGCTCAACCACCCAGAAGTCATGGAACAAAAGAACCAATCCGTAAACGGAACCGGCCTGCCCCATCCATCTCCTACGCGGCTTCAACTTGCATAGCAAGCTGAAGTAGGTCCGTACAGCCCAGGGCGACGATTGAACAAGGGGTTGATAGCAAGCTCCGGACTGAAAAACAAAGGACAACTGAGGAAATCTCAGTAGCATGGTATGCTTCTGCCAAATATTTTTTGGGTTGATGATGTAGATGTTTTCGAAGATTGACCCACGCGGATTCTTGATCAGCAAACCCATCACCAGCCTCTTTTATAAGTAGGATTGGGATGGATTGTCAGACGCAATTTTTTTTTATCAGATCGTGACCCTGATAGCTGGGGTTGTCTCCGTGCAAATCTTGAACTACCGATTTGGCCGCTACGATGCGTCATCGGAGTTGCCATCGGCCCCATCCAGCCCTGCTGCACACACTGGGACCATGGCACAGGGTCTGCTGTAGCATTGGAGGTCAAAAACAGGATTCGGAAGGGGAGTGGGTGGCTATGGTTGGGAGGCAGCAACTGTTGCGTTTGGAAAACTCTCCACTTACATATCTTACATGTAAAATATGTCTAGATGATGTCGGTTGTCAATTTTTTGCGGAGCCTTCTGCAACGAAGGATGTTCTCCTTACTGGGTTAGAAACATGAGTAGCGGGCCTTTGTCATGAAACGAACAGATCAAGACACCTAGTAGAAACAACGCATTCAGGGCAGATTCCAGTACAAAGAAAGATGCCTCGTAGCTCTGAGGCCGCTGCGTTTTGCTCAAACACTTGTGTGTGAACTTCGTGACAACCACAACCGACAGCTGCTCACTGAAAAATGATGAAAAATCCAACCGCAGACGCAGCAACAGGCAAGTTCTACAAGTCCAATGTTTTGAGGTGACATTTTGAACTCATCCACAGAATTGGCTGTTTGAAACACTGACCAGCTACCAATCCAAGTGGGTTCTTGTTGGGCTTCCGCCCCCCAGCCTGAAGATGCTATCAGCTGCTATCAGCTCAAACAGATTTCATCTTTGCATCGTAGAATCCCAACGGTCCCATGGTGCTGTGCTGCATTTGCGGGGTCGTCTCCTCAGCCGATCTCAGCCGGCTCTGCATCAAATATGTCACCAAAGAGTTGGATGTTGGGAGTGTGTGATCAAACAAAAACGATATGAATAAATGATATGTATTGATATGTACCCTATGGTTATGACTAACAGTTCGCCATGGTATTTTCCATGGCCCTAATCGAAATAGATGAAATAGAGGGTACACACCGTTCTATTCATAGCATGGTGGACCTTTCCATGGCGAACTGTTAGTCATAACCAGATGGTAAATGATGGCTCCGAGGTACCCCTCTCTGCGGCGGTGCAAACCGGAGCACGCTGTGTGCAATGCCTGCGCAACGAGGTGCAAACGGGAGGACCTTGGAGCCGCAACGGGATGGGATGCTGAAACTGCTGGAGTTGTCCAGAAAATGGGGTATGCTATGGTAAACTAACAGTTTGCTATTGAAAATGGCCATAGAAATAATAGTTTTACCTGATTTACCCATTAAACATGGTGATGTTCCATAGTTATGTTAGTTTACCAGAGGGTATGCTATGGTATACTGCATACTCTTCAACTTTTTGGACAAAGACAGCTAGGTAATCCAGATGTGGAAATCTTGAAGGCACCACGGCAGCATTCCCAAGTTTTGGGGGACGATTTTTAGCCCAGACGTTGCATTGATTTCTTGTTTCGAGAGGAAACGAGTGAAAATAACGACGAAAATGAGTGGAGTGGAATTTTACCTACAGTACATATATAACAACATAATTAGTGTATAACTAGTTCCATTCACTAAGCATGGTAAGTAAGTGAAACTCCATGCTATTCCTAAAGTCCCCTGAGAGGTGGACGTGGGTGCCAACGTGAGCCGGCGTGGCACGGTGCAGCATTGTGGTACTTGTCAAAGGTGGCTGAGGTCGGGGGACAACCCTATTTGGGTGCTGTGGGATAGGATTTTTTCTTCTGAATTACAAGGAAACACATGGGAAACATGGGGATTTGACATGAGTTAACATGATTTAGCCGCATCTTAAAATATCTTAAGATGTAGGGGTTTGTCTGACAAATTAGGGTAATGACCCCCAAATCAAATGAGTTATCATCAATTCCCTCACTAAAGTTGTCATTTTGGGGTATACCCAATTTTCAGACACGCAGGTTTGTCTCTTGGAAACATCCGGGCGAAACCGCCTGGTTACTTTGTTTTTCTTCTCCACCAAGCACTTGGGAATTCTGTGCTTTATGTCATGAACGAATCACGAAGCAATCAGAATCGGCATCACCTTTCAGAGGGTGGGCCCCATTCCGCCCAACCATGCGCAAGCGCATGGTTGTTTCAGGCAGGATTTTACGCAGAGAATTATCATGACTGTTTGGCTGTATGATAGATAGTGACCAATTTGACACTGATTTATGTCTAGAACGTTGCAAAAAGTGTGTGTGTGTGTGATTTATGCCTAGAAAGATGCAAGAGATGGTGTATATATATATATTTACATATACATACAAATGTACACATGCACAGACACTTGCCACATGCACAGACACTTGCCACATGCACATGTTATTTTGGGATCTGTTTTGGGGGGCTTTTTTAGCAGAGACCCGGCAGGCCTGGAGGTGGCTGGGCCATCGCAGAGTGGGAGAGCCGTGAGTTGTCCCTTGATGGTGGGACGGTCGTGGCGCTCCTATTAATGTTGGATACTGATCAGTGTAGGGCCCCCCCTCCAACAATTTTTAGGCTACTCAATAACTCGGCATTTTAAACGCCCCCCCAGAATTTTTAGGATAGTCAACTTAAGTAAGGATTTCAATTGACATCAATCTACTTTCAATTGGTTTTCCTTTTAAATCCAAAAAAAAGCATGGCCCCAAAAGTTTTTGAAGTTTTTGTGCGCAATAGGGTGCCATCGAAACAACTACTCGTACATTATTGAGGATCTGGGTCACTCATGGGGTACCCCCTGGAAAAATTGTTTGGGTGCTATTTTCTAATAAGGGTTTAATAAGGCATCTAATTATTTGGGAAACCTTGCGTTTTCAAGGCTTTAACATGGATATGGCTTTCTAAAGTAAATGGACCAGCTTTACCCAAAGAAAGGTGTACAAAGGTGGATAAAGCTCCTCCTGAAAAAATTGGTTCTGAGAAAAAACTTCTCACAATTGAGTTTTTTCCCAAAATGCGAGAAGATACTCAATAATTTTTGGAAATTGTCTCAATAGAGTCCCATGACACTAATCGGGATCCAACATTAGTAATTTGTAAACTGTATTGGTATCTCTTATTCTTAGTATACAGTGCATAAAAGCATATAAATAAGTTATAGAGCCAATGTGTTTTTATGTGTGTTTGACATTTGGTATGGGAACCATACAGATCATACAGTAGATGTTGGTCATTTAGTCATTTATAGCACTTAGTAAATCTAATTCAGTACAACTCAGGTACTCTTGCAGGTTTAGGTGTCTTTACGCTGGGAGGTTTCATGATCGTACCAACCCAAGTGCCCCATCTAATCTATTGAATATTTACCATGACGTGCACAAAAAATCAACAGAAATGGCACTTTTTTGCAGGTACGCAGATGTAAGTTAGTAACTATAGCCTATGAATCTATGATACATTGCATCTATAGATTGGATGATCCACGTAGCATTTGGCCATATTTGGCCTATCGGGCCATCGGCTCATCCCGAGGTTGGCCATCTGCCTCAAAAGCATCAAGGGCATTGGGAAGGACCTTCAACTGGCGGTGGTCTCGGTGGGGGGTTCCCCGTTCAAGCGTAGAAGTCCGGGGTGCACCCAAGAGCGTTTGGTGTTTTTTGATGTTTTAATTTCGTTCTAAAAGTTAAAAATAAGTCTCTGGGAAAAATATGAGTTTGGTGGAAAGAGAGAGGGATTCATTTCTACAGCAAAAACAGGGATATACAGGGACCAAAATCTACGCTTTGAGGAGAGCAGCTTGCCTCTCAGGTCAATGCGAGTTTCATTTGGCCCGGGCACTTGGGTTTGCTGCGGCATCATCTTCGGGATTTCCATCCCTTTGGTCTTTGATGTGGCCTTAAACAGCATCAAATCATGCCATGTATCACGAAGCTATTTCCATGTAAATCCACGTAATACGGACGCATGGGATTCTTGTATCTGTATGCGCTTGTAGGCTAATTGCTGATTTTACAGTGATATGTTTTTCAATTTTTATCTATTAGACATATAGCAGTTGAAAGCCTGAGCTGCCCCAAGTCATCCTGGCTCGCGACGGGCTCAGGACCGTGCAAAGCTCCAAGGAGATCAAGGTGAAGCTCGAACTGCAGTGCGACTGCCTGGGCTTTTGGAGCAGGTTTTGGGAGGCCAAAGGTTGGTAATCTTGGTGAAATCTTGGATAAGGTGGGTAAAACAATGCCATAAACCACCCCCCAAATCACAATTTTCTAGGTGGTATGGTTACCATTCCCAGTCATGGGTGGTTTATGGCATTGTTTTACCCACATGAATGTGGTAAACCCAATGATAACCATCCCAGCGATCAACATCAACCATTTGGGGGCTATCATGAATCATCCCAAATAGGGATTGCTTTGGGTTCATTTTCGTTAAGACTGCTTGTTTCTTAGCTCGACCTCCAGCATTTTGTTGCTTCAATCCCTATTTTGTTCGGTTGGTGAACGTTCCAAATCATCTTGTTTTGCTTCAATCCCGTTTTGTTACTTGACATTTCAAGTCCCCAGTTGTGCTTACATTTTAGAATTCAGGCGTTTAAACAGAACATGGACAGATTCCGTTGTTCCCAACATCAAATTCCATTCATGTCCATTCCATTCTCCAATAAAACATGGGGAAAAACCCATCGGAAACCATGGAACAAAAACCATGGCCCAAGGCAGGAGGCCATAGCGGGTGTCCTGGTGCGACAGTCCGTGGTGGTGGAGTGTGGGGGCTCAGTGGCTTTGAAACGAAAAATGATGAAAGACTTGATATCTAGGCATATCTAGGCCACATGAAGGACCACATGGATTTTAAAGCACAAAACTTGGTCATAGGGCGACGAAAAGTGGGATGTCAAACAATGAACATTAGAGTTGGGCCAAAAGAAGCTTGGATTTTAGGGTGTGTATCAACCAAACACATTGGATTTTAATCAATAGAACCTGGGATCATAGTGTGAACCAACCAACAAGATGGTTTCAACCAGCAAAAGGTATGTATATAAAGGGTTACAACCAACAAAAACAAGCCCTCTAGACCTGACAGTCTCCCACACAGTGTGCAGCATGATGGCAAGGCTGCGCGTGCAGAATCTTCAATGTCCGGACTGCAAAAAGCGTCTTGGATGCGATTCACATGGGTTAAACTAGGTACCCTCTGGTAATTTAACATAACTATGGGAAATCACCATTTTCAATGGGAAAATCCACTATAAATGGGCCATTTTCAATAGCTATTTTGACATAACCAGAGGGTAAACTGTGGTCAACCCAGTAGTGGATGGCACCCCAAAATTCCCAAAATTCCACCATTTTCTGGTGGTCAACTGGGGATGGACGACTAGTGATGGTTGCAGCTGGTGAGAAAAAGTCATCCCCAGCTGCTTGGTTGATACATCGCATTTTTGTGTGAACCTTGGTTTGGTTTGAAATGTTATGACAAAAAGACGGATCGTCTTGAGATATTACATAAAATTCATGGAGGAATGTCATTAATATATAATGTGTGTGGAGGGCGCAGTCAAATGTAATATTAATCTTATCTCCACGAGTTGAACTCCAGGTCACAGAACATTCTAAGGTCACTTGGTATCCCAATAAATTGCAAGATGGGAAAAATTCAGGACTTCCTTTGCATTACTATCCTTTTTTGGGTTTCCTGCAGATTTTCGCCGGTGCCCTGAGGAGTTACACCAAGCACTACTGGGAGAGCTCCGTTCAGGCCATGAGACTTGGATCATCGGGGGATCCAATCGCCAATGGACAACACATATGCCATATTTGTGATGTATTGTGATGATCACGGATGATTTATGATGATGTCCTGGACTCTGGGACGTGGTTTTTATTTCCGTTGCCATGTTCTTCTCGAGGTGTTTGATGGCTTCTCCCAGAGTCAAAGAACTGGCAGTGGGGTCAGTTTGGAGTATCTGGCACTCTGGGATGTAACAACCAGGAAACAAGGGGTGCTTGGGGTTTGGGACTAAATTGGGGGCCCGAACTGGAAACCCACACCGTCTGGCTCTGTTAAATTTTCAGGGTGGAATGGTGCAAGCTACTGTGAATGAAAGAAATCCTGCACCAGTTGGTAAGTATTGGCAGTATTGGTAACTATGAAGCACTGTCAATGGGATAAACCATCTACCAACTGGTGCAGGAAGATATCCCAAGTGTTTGGGCGCAAGTTGTTGATGAATTTCAGCCCATGCAGGTGTTGCTTTGAACATGTTTGAACCGTTGCCACGGCACTTCCACTTCAGCAACTGGCTGCGCGCTTCGGGCGACCCATGGGCGCCGTGCAGTGGGCAGCTCCCTCGGATTTTCAGGTCGGAAAGCCGCCCTTGAAAGCAGCCAGAGCGGTTCACTTGTGTCAGGTGGGAGCCGCTTGGTCAGGAGCGCACATGTATCGTCAGTCAGTATACGGTCTTCAAGTGAGAGATCTCCATGACATCGCACATGAAACCCCAAGAAGCAGAGTTGGAAGACGAATCATGTTCTTTTGTTGGTTCTAAGGTTCTACAGCCAGGTTCATCATGGTCAAATCATCACATTCATTTGGGTTCAATGTTTGGTTCCCATCCCAGCCCCATTGGGCCCATTGCAGCCGCAGGGTCCTCGCGTGAGCCGTCGTGCAATGGCTGGTTTCGACAAGCCCATTGACGTGCCTCGGCAATTGGAGGTATCGGGTAACATGGAGGATCAGCCCACTTAGTAGCTGATTAACAAGTATAACCCCCAGGTTATTAACCATAGTTAAAGCCAGAAAGTGGTTCACTCATTTATAGATGAGATATGCCAGTTGAGGGCCTCTAAGATTTTATTAAAGTTATTAAAGATGCACCCCCTCACTCACTCCTGTCTCACTCCCTCACTTCCTCACTCCTTCCTTCTTTGCCGGAACCGAACTCTGTATCGCTAGCTTCGGATGCAGCCGGACACCATACCACCAGCTCCAGATGCAGTGGACCCAAAGGTATAGAATGTCAGCTAGACTGTCAGAATAGAATGCCAGATAGAATGTCGGAATAGATGCCAGAAAGAGTGCCCGAAGGAATGACTGAAAAGATGCCAGATAGAAAGCCAGATAGAATGCCAGAAAGAACGTCAATAGATGCCAGATAGAATGCCAGAATGAATGCCTGAAAAAGGGTGGGGATCACTTGAAGAACGTATTTTTTTAATGCTACTATTCCAGATCATTTTCTTGACTAAACAAAAAGTGGCGAATTGCACTCCCACATACTTATTGTTTTGAAAACACAGACGTGAACTCCCCTACAAAATGAATAATCCAGGGTAGACAACCATGTATTTTCAGCCTGCGTTGTCATTTTCAACTAGACATTTGACATCATTTGACTATATTCTGTTTAGAAAAAAATCAGGTTGCTTGTTTTTTTTGGGTCCCTCTTTGGTTTTTGGGTTTTCCACATTTTTCCACCGAGGTGGTCGATCCTCACTTCCACTTCTTCGACGTCCGAGAGGAAAGCACCTCGGGCCACGATCCAAAGATCATCGGGCCCATTGCAGATGGCAAGGAGACGGCGAAACGTGTGAAGTGGCCCGAATCATGGTGTGAAGTGAGCCGATGTGAGCTGATGTGAGCTGTTGAGCATGTGAAAATGGCCAGGAATCACACACACACACATGTACAGTGTGTATATATATATATTATTAATATTATTATTATTATTAATATTATTATTATTATTTTTATTTATGTATATATATATATATATTAATATTATCATTATTTTATTTTTTTTATTGTTATTATTATTCTTATTTTAATGTATTACAGTATATACATTATATACTGTATATATATATGTATCACATATCAAAGGAGATTCACATTGTGCACAATGGACTTCAAAAACATGGTGATGATGGAATGCTCCTTTTTCGACCCTCAGGTCTTGCAGCATGCTTCGACATGAAATCATGCTGTTCAGCCCCTCCAAAGGTATTTCAAGGGGATCCAAGTGCAACTAAACGCCAGCAACAAAAACAGAAAGAAAGTCATGGAAAAAACAAGTCATCGCAGCATAGATGTACTAGATGCGTTGTTTTTTTCCTTGCATAAATTTATCATACCCAGCCATATTTTTGTATTTCACCGTGAAATTTCACCCAGGGTTTCCACATGGATTCCCTGACCCATGGGAGCACGGCTCAGGAGCTCTACGACAAGGCGTGCTACGAAGCACAGATGCGCACGCTGCCGCCCGAGCTGCGCCACCGCGGGGGGGTCTTCCTGGAAGCGGCCACGTGGTCTGCATGGTTTTGGAAGATGAATTGAGGGGACGGGTGGACAATATTATGTACATATAATATCATATCATAATATCATGTCTATGTATCTGCATATCTATCTATCTATCCATCTAATCTAATCTAACCTAGCGCAATCAAATCTAATGTTATCTTATCTTGTCTGATCTATCCAATCATATCTATCTAATCAATCTGATCTATCTAATCTGATCTAATCTTGTCTATCTAAACTTTATCTATCTAAACTTATCTAATCTTATCCAGTCTTCTCTAATCTAATCTATCCAGGAAGGATTCGGTTCGGTTCGGTCCCTAATTTTAATAGGTAGGAATCGGTTCGGTTCGGCTCCGCGCGCTATTTGAAAACGGCTCAGAACAGCAAATCCGTTCTTGCATGACACGGTATGTTCCTTGTTTGTTTTGGCTGGATTCGGCTCCGTTGTGGTGATGTCGTCTTACGTTCAAGGCGGTTTTGTTTTAGTTTCTTTGGTGCGTGTATCATGAGCTTTAGGCACTTTGCTGGGATTTGCGGCGGTTTCGGGTTCGTTGGGGGAAGCGTCTCGTGTCTTCCATTTCTTTGCTAGCATCTTGTTCCTTCCATTTCTTGAAAAGCTGCCTCATGAGGGAACGAAGACAATTTAGGCATTTTGGGATTTGCGGCTGTTTCGGGTTCGTTGGGGGAAGCGTCTCTCTCTTGCATTTATGTTGTCCGTGCTTCATGAACGAACGAAGACAATTGAGGCACTTTGATGGGATTTGTGACTTTTTCGGGTTGGTTTGGGGAAAGTTCTCTTGTCTTCCATTGCTTAAGTTCATGCTTCATGAGCGAAGGTGGCAATTGAGGCATCTATCTAATCTTATCTAATCTAGTCTTATCTTTCTAACCTTATGTATCTAATCTAATCTAATCTAATCTAATCTAATCTAGTTATAGTCCAATCTATTTAGACCGACAAATACTTAGAACATCATTTGGAAAACGCTGCTCCAATGTTTAGCAGGGATTTAAGCTTTGATGATCGTTGTGCGTAGAACAGAATGTGTGGGACAAACTATGTTTTCAGTGATAACTCCAGTGTCAAAAAAGAATACCAAAATCATTGCCCCTCCAAAATCCAAACTTTGGAATACCCTCTGGTAAACTAACATAGCTATGGAAAATCACCATTTTCAATGGGTGAATCCACTATAAATGGCAATTTTCAATAGCTATTTTGACATAACCAGAGGGTAAATACTTTGGATGTTTCTCAAGGTGTGGCCGAGGATGTGGCCGATGATTCAAGGCAACTATTAGCACAACCGTGCATGCAATGACAGAGACAGAGACCGCATGAGACCGTGCAATAAAAAAATGTGCATGCGGTATGTGCAGGTGGGTGTTTGAATTTTCAATCATTTCTCCTTAAGCGAAGAGACACTTAGAACATCAGACCACTTTTTCCCTGTCAAAATGCATGTTTTATGTGTTGATGTTCTAAGTGGTGGATTTCTTGATTTTTGATGTTCCAAATGATGCACTTAGAACATCCCCATCTTGATTTTTCTGATGTTCTAAGTGTGTGCGCCGGTGCATTTGGAAAACGTTTGATGTTCTAAGTATTTGTCGACCTATTTAATCTAATTTTAATCTTAATCTTTATCTATATCTTAATCTCAATTTTGATCATATCTTAATCTTAAATAATCTTAATCATTATCTAATCTAATGTAATCTAATTTAATCTAATCTATCTATGTGGTTATATATATATATTTGTATATAAAAACATATGTAAACAAATGTCGGGGAAAATGAAGAGGGGAAAATGAAGACACCAACATTTTGGTTCAAATTGATCATATTTTTTCTTTGAGCTGAACGTTGGGTGCTGAATTCAGGTGAGCGTTTGCCACCCCGACCTGAGTGGTCCAGACTACTCGCTCCACTGCCTGCGCCTTTGCAGATGTGGGGTGGGGCCACGAAACTCACCGTAGCCCCAAAAAGGTGACCAAATCCCAACCGGGGGTTCCAAATGGAGTTGCGAATGGCACCTGGTTGGTCCTGGTTGCCCCCCAAAACAAGGATTTTCCAAAGGCATTTCTGCTGGTGAAGATGACTTGTGGATGATGATTCCCAGCACATGGGCGCGTTGCGGGAATACAATCACCAAAGCGGATGTCATTTGTGTCTTGATCCCTTCTCGGAATTCAAAGGCAACAAAATTCCTTTACCAAAACGATGATTTTCAGGCTGAGTTTGGGGGCTCTCTCACTGCCATGCTTAAACATTGATTTAGCGTGGCCATGATTGTTCCATCAGTATTGCGATCTTGTGCGAAACGCATTCCAGGATATTCCAGGTATTTTTCAATATTGTCCAGTCACGAATTCAGTTTGCCTACTTCATTTATAATTTATATAAGGTATCAGGTGTCCATATTTTTTGGTTTGCACTCATCTCCATGTGGCTATGGGTCGTTGATTCATAGCCTTGCAGCCTATGAACAAGTTGAAAATGGTAGGTTTTGTATTTTTTTTGATTCATTCCAATATTAGTACTATTATTAGTACTGTGGTTAAACCCAATAATAGACCATCCCCAAAATCACCATTTTTATGGGTGCAATCAACCATGTAACCATCCCCATTTTTGGTCGTTTTTTTTTTGGGGGGGGTTGCCATGGCTTGCGCCAGGAAGGAGGCGCGTTTTGCCACCGAACAGCTCGGCGATACAGACAAATACGTAGCTAGGGCTGCAAAGATCACCTTTATGTGGCTGAGATGTGGGTGATGATTTCATGGTATCAATGGGATAAGATATCTAAATGGTAGAATAATGGGATGAAAATCATATCTAATATGTATATAATAATGGGGTAGTAATGATAATGATTATCATAATAAGGATGGGATATTTATGTATACATACATACATATATATATATATATTTATAATGTGGGTAAAACTATGCCATAAACCACCCATGACTGGGAATGGTAAACATACCACCTATAAAAATGGTGATGACTGGGGGATGGTTTATTATTGTTTTATATTGTTTTAATTACCCACATTGCACGGTTTTTCCCAACCACTAATCTCACTTTGGTGTTCGTGAAACAAATCCCAATTTAAAGAAACATCGCCAATATAAGCAAAATGGGTAGTGTTTGAACCCCAAACGGGAGGTGTATTTTTGAGTTTAATTTAAGTGCGGAGTTTCATGTGTTTTCTCGGGAAAACAACTATAGTCCACAATATGCTACCTCAACTGCTAACAACACCAGGATTTAGTCTTTTCCACCTACTTGGCAAATTTCAACCAGTGGTCAACCGGTGGTTTGGGTTGCTCGCTATGCAAAACAGTTAAACATCCTGAAATCACAAACCAGCAACCCATACAACCGGTGAAGCACTTGTTGAATATGCGGGTGTGCCTGAAAATGGGGTACCAAAATCCAGTTGGTGATCATCATTTTCGCCATGATTTTTCCATATTTTTCCCATGAACATTGCCATCTGAAGGGTATACCCTAGACATCCCAGCCCTTTTTGCATCAGCCGGGCCTTACCTTGGAACGTTCCCAGGCCGTAGTAGCAACCTGCGCCCTAGAACAGGAGGACTTAGCGGAGATGCTCGGGAAGTTGAAGCGAGAAGTTCCAGGCGCAGAGTTGAAGTATGATGAGTGCTGCCAACTTGTTCTGGTTGGTGGTTTCAAACATTTTATATCTTCATTTTTCTTGTCCATAATATATGGGATGTCATCCTTCCCAAAGGTTTCGGCTCGAAACTGGTTTTTCCCCCTTTTACGGTTCGTTTAGGGGCGCCGGAACCTTAGTGGGCAACCGTCGAATTTTTGCCCACGGGTCATTGACGTCATTGACCCTTTGCTATTCTCCATTCCTGGTGTCACTGCAGTTCAATTTGCTGACATCCTTGGTTTGGGTTTGGTTATCCGAGTGAACCTGCACAGTGAACATTGATTTTTTCTGTTCTACATTGCTCTTCGCTTGGTGGACCGGAGTCCCAGCTCCGAAACATCCTGGGTGGCTTGGCCGGTTTTTGCGCTTCTGCAGTTGTGCGTAACAACTGAGTGACATCGGTTTGCTCTATTGCTTTGTTCCTGTGGGGATCCTTGGTGTTTATGCACCCAGTTTGGATCTGGGTTCTGTTATTTCATCTTGGCGCCCATTTCTGCAACTGCGAGAAGGAAGGCTCGGCGATTGAGGGCATCCGCCCGGCTTTCGTGGCATTTGCACAAGAAAGGAATCAAAGTGTTGAGCAAGGATCGGTTGCAGCGCATCATACATCGGCTTTCAAATCATCATTCAAGCGATTTCAGTTTCCTACGTCGGATTGCAAAGACAATGACCACGTACGAGGCTTATCCTTGGAAATGTCAATGCGGGCGCATCAACGCCAAGAAGGCGGAGTATTGTCCCCGATGCTCAGCCCACTGGTCCAAAGGCAGTCGTCATCCGACAGAGCCCAGTTCCAAAAACATGGATCAGAGCTACGTGCAGCATCAGTCCGCAGCAGATTGGGGGTACTCACAGTGGCAAGGACGTGGATCAGGCTCACAGTCGCCTCGTTGGCGGCAACCATACAGTCCACGCCATCGCCAACAGCACAGTGGAAAGAAGCAGAAACAGAATCGTGGCAAGGGGAAGCACAGAGACCAAAGCCAAGCTCGTGGAGAGCAGGTCGAACAGTATCCGGTTTTTGGTCCCCCAACGACGCCACTCCATCCTACAGACACTCCTTGGTTAGTGCATCAACCACAGTTAGCTCCCCCACCACCGCCGCCATTGGTGTTGTCGGAGGCAGAGGAAAAATTGAAAGAATATCAGGCACTTTGCCGGAAGCATCAGCAGAGTCTGCCGCTGGAAATGCAGCAGCTTCTCAAAGCCGAAGCCATCAAGCAAGGAGAGGTAGCCACAACCATCATGCACAAGCAAGTGAACAATCTAGGCAAAGTTGGAGGAGGCACATGCAGCAAGGCTGAACCTCCACACCTCCTGGCGTACGTTCCTTGTGGATCAGGTGCAGAGATGGCAGACCTACTCTGCGAATTTCCAGCATCAGGAAGCACAATTGGCCGAAAGAGTCAATCTAGCTATCCAAGCTCTCGAGGCTGCCAAAACGGAATTGACTGCCTCGAAGAAGTCCCTGGGAGAGGCTGCGACCGAAGACGACAGTATGCAAACTGCCGAGGAGGACCAGCAGGCACAGCAGGTCAACGAGAGCACCTCCTCCAGTGCTCGTCGTATTACAGAAGGGTTGCAACACCTTTCCACATCGTTGCAAGGCCTCAAAGAACAGGCAGATCAGGCAGTAGAGCTAGAAAAGCAGTCACTCAAAAGGCCTCGCATTTCGGAAGTAGTTGCCGTGCCACCAGCAGCAGCACCGTCCGAGCTACCAGAGCAGCCTTTTCAGGCGGCCGGGCATGCATGACGCTTTTGTATGCTGTCCAATGGCCTTTGGCTGCGGATGCTGATTTAGTTCCGAAGTGGACTCACAGTATCCTGAGTGAAAACCCCTGTCGTTCAGAATGGGCTGCGCAGGCCTCTGCTAGCTTTCTAGCTTTTGAGCTTGGGCATTCGACGTTTCATCCTCCTGGTGACATGCAAATTCAGACCTGTAAGCGTAGGGTTGCCCTGCAGGTTTCCTTTGCAACTGAGGTGCAAGTATTGATTGGACTCGAAGATAGCCTGTCATGCTGTTCCGTTCATGTGCTGCCAGAGGTCTTGAAGTCGTCTTGCAAACCATGGAGGTTGAGACCGCCAGGGTTTCTACCTGCTCCCACACCTGAATTTGTTCCCCTTGAGGGTGAGGGGCCAATTTGGGAAGATGTGCAATATCAGTTCCTGCAAATACCTGAGTTGGATCATCCATGTTGGATTTCTTGCATGCATCCGCTTGAAGATTCCCCGGTTGAGTACCTCTCAAGGTTGAATCGCAACTGTGCCTCAAATACAGCAGGGTTGCTTTTGCCAGGTCGGTCTGTCTTGTCATGCCCTGTTGACTTTGGTGATCCGCTGTCGCTTTCGGCCGCGTTGATCTCAAGTCATCAGTGTGTCTCGTGTCCCAGTCCGTCTCATGCCTGCCAGGGTTGTGAAGTAACTCCACATGGTAGAAATGTGTTCTCCAGTTCCCCCACACATGATGAAGTGCCCCCTGTTAGTTCTGTCGAAGGTTCCCGCGTGTTCCCAACAGCTGCTGGCTGTTCTAGCAACTCCGCACGATCCAGTTCTGCCAGTGTTGGGCCTTCAGTTGTCTTTTCCTATTTGAGTCAGCCGGTTGATGTCGATGATTTTGATTGGAGTGAATCCTCAATTTCAATTTTGCGGCCAGATGCTCTGCAGTGCGCATCCCAATCCCTTGCTAGTTGTCCCGAGCCGGTTGTTTCTCAAAATTGCAATGTCACACTGAACGTTTTGCCTGGCCTTGACTCTCCTGGTGATCCGCTGTCTGCACAGGCCGTGTTGATCTCGGAGGATCATGTTGGTGGCATTGATGAGCTAGATAAGGCTCCGACTGAGGATGTTTCGCCTGGGCTGGCGCATGATTTGGTGGTGATTTCTCCAGAGCCTACACCAAGGTCACACAGTCCTGTCAGGTCTGTTGCCACTACGGTGCATGTTGTTGATGACAGCAGCGATGAGCATGAGGAAACCACGGAACTGCATGCGTGTGTAGCCATCAAGCACATGTCCATTGTCCAACACAAGCTTTCCGACCCAGCCACCAATCAGTGTGCACAATATACTGATACTCCGACGGAGACTCCGGTTGGATTTCCATTTGCATTCGAGTTACCAGTTTTTGTTCGGGAGATGCTTATTCACCTGCCTGCTGGTTTCACAGATCAACCGCGTCCGGCCAATGATGGGCCGCTTGTTCGGATATGGTATATTCATCTAGATTTTCAAGCCCGCTCATTTCAGGAGAGGCAGCTTCAATTGACTGGCCCCCCACACTTTTGGAAAGCACAGATTGTTGCCACATGGTTTGATGCTCTTGCACCACATCAAGATGTTGTAATCGACCTCGTCGTGCCTGTGCCACCACGCCGATGGTATGAACGCAGCTTGGTTTTTGACGTCATTCTGTCGCAGTCCACATTTGCCAGGAAAAAGCCAGCACTTGTCACGGTTTTGCCTAATCCCATTGCGCGTAGTTTGCAGCTGTATTCTGGAGCTGTGGCTCTTGATGCTCAGATTACAGGTTATCAGGCAATCCAAGGCATTGCGGCTGATCGACTATGCAATGATCGGTTTTGTCAGGTCACGTTTGGACATCAAGTAATTCCCAATGACGGTCCTGCCACCCATCAAGTGTCAGCTGGAAACGGTTTTGTAGTTCATGTTGGTCGACGGCGTAGCCAAGCTGCTGCCAGTGCAGATGATTTCGTCACATCTACTCCTGTCCCAATGGATATTGATGCTTACCAATCGACAGGCTCAGTGTCCGCTACTGTAAGCCCAGGGCCGGCTGATTTTGGGTCAGCTCCAACCCAATCATACGATGAAAATGCCCAGCCTTCAGTGCGTGCCAGCCTGTATGCCTTGAACAGGCCGACCAAACATGCCATGGTTCGCTTGCACTTGCCACATTGTCTGTTGCACGATGTTGCCAATGTTTTTGGAGTGCAGCCGTCTCAGATTTCTGATCTGCATTTTGTTCAGGCTACCCCGGTAGGTGAACCACCGCTTTCAGTTCATGTCATTGTTCAATTCCTTGGTGATCTGGTACCGGGCAGTACGGAGCAACTCCTTTTGCTTGATGTTGCTTTCCATTGTCATGGGTTCCGTGTTCAGCCATGCGTCCAAGTGCCGGTTGATCGCAGGGTTGTCATTGTCCCGCAGCACTTGGTCAGAGCACGCTTGTTGGACATTGCGTTTGTTGGCACATACTGTGAGTTGCATGGACACACGTGTCTTGTTTCTCTCAATAGACAGCAGTGGAAGCAGCAGGACGTGATGATCAGTGGTATATCGTCAGGTGGGTATCTACGTATTGAGGTCCCGCCGCCACATGCCCAGGATGCTCACACTTGTCATGCAGTTGAATTGGTGGAAGACCTTGGTCTCGATGAAACGCAGCTTCATTTTGCTGATCATTATCCGGATCTCCCAGAGACTTCAGTCACTAGGGATCGTTCTAGGGTCGTTGAAAAGACATCTGCTCGGTATGATTCTCCACCAAATGTATTGCCAGAACACCAGCTTAGAGGTATTGCGCGTGATGCTTATCACATTGGTCCTTATCATCACTCAGAGGCACCGCAATTGCACAGTGATTCGCAACTTCCGGCACAACATCTGTTGCCTCGTTTGCAGGATGTCTCGGCATTTGAGCTTGAATTTGCCGCAGTTTTTAGGGACCATGCAGTCACAGAGCGAACAGAAGAAGGTCGTGTTGCGTATGTTGCCACATGGTATGTCCATCATGATCATCACCCAGTGTGCCTTCAGGGTAGGCTTGTCAGGGTGTTGTCGCAACAGCAATCTTGGTTTAGAGAGTTGTGTCGCCCTTGGCTTGCACAGCTCAGACGGTTTGAAACCATTGCTATCAGGGTTGTGCGACCCTCACCGCCGGCCATTGATGCAGGACCTAGTATTGCCCATGTTATTCTGGAACAGGGATTGTATCGCCCCAGA